GAACCGCTGACCTTTCGGCTAGCAGCTGAGCTAGTGCTTAACCACTGTGCCACCAGGCTCCTCTCATTAACCATTAGGGAGATGCAAATCAAAACCACAATGAGATACTACCTCACCCCTACTAGAATGGCTATGACCAAAAAGAAAAAACAACAACAACAACAGGTGCTGGCAAGGATGTGGAGAAACAGTCATCCATTGCTGGTGGGAATGCAAAATGGTACAGCAGCGGTGGAAAAATTTTGGCCGTTCCTCAAAAGGTTCAACTTAGAACTACCATATGACCCAGTAATCACAATCCCTGGTATACACCCAAAAGATCTGAAAGCAGGAATACAAGCAGAAATCTGAACACCAATGTTCACTGCAGCAACTATTTACAATAGCCAAAAGGTGGAAACCACCTAAACGTCCACTGATACAGGAATGAATGGCTCATCAAAACGTGGTATATACATACAATGGAATATTACTCAGTCATAAAGAGAAATGAATTCCTGATGCACGCTACAACATAGATGAACCCTGAAAACACCATGCTGAGTGAAATAAGTCACAAAGGGACAAATCCTGTATGATCTCACTTACATGAAACAGGCAAACATACAGAAACCAAAGCTTATTAGTGGTTACCAGGGGCGGGAGGGAGGAGGGAGGGGGAGTTATCATTCAGCGGGCACTGAGGTTATGTTAATAGTCGTGGAATAAGTCAGAAAAGCAGAGTGACAACGGTTATACAACATGAAGAATGTAATCAATGTCACTGAATCATACAGATAAAATTTGTTGAATTGACAAATGTTTTATGTATATTTTTACCACAATAAAAAAAAAGAAAAAAAAACCTGCACATGTGCACACAGACACAAGTACAATATTCATCATAAGAGTAAATATTTGAAAACAATGTAAGTGTCTACAAACGGGGGGCTAGGTAAATTCATGGCAATCCATGGTACAAACCACAATGCACTCATGATACAGTTACTATAAAGATTGAGGTACGCCCACGTTACGTGCAATAAAGTTCCTAAAACACATTGTTAAGAGAGATTTAAGTTGCAGGACAACGCACATGGTTTGATCCCATTTATGCTTTCCTTTTTAAAGAGATTACGCTAATGCACAGGAAATAAGGATTGCGAGGGCACGCCAATGGCCACAGAGGTGCTCTCCACGGAGGGGAGTGGGTGCACAAGAGGGATGAGGGATGCAAACACAAACACCTGGGAGGAGTTACAGTAAAGCAAGTTGGGTGCAAGGGGGAAAGTGCAGACTGTGGCAAGCTGGAGGGGCTGTCCTCCTGTCTAAAGAGGGTGGCTGCTGGTAAGTTCCTTTTAGCTACTACCATAGGGGAATGTGGGCCCAAAGCTACGGGATCTTTTTTTTTGAGAAAAACTACAGCTCCCTATTTTTATGTAAAAATCTTCTAATTTTAAAATGCAGCAACTAATTTTGACAGTTTAAAACTATGAGCAGACCAAACTAGTCTACAGGCCCCATGTGGCTGCCTGTCGGAAACCTCTGCTTTAATACTTAGATTTTGCTACAATGATTTACAATGAATGTGTATTCATCAAAGCCAATCAGGAACCCCTAAGTGCCAGAAAAATTAGGGGGAACTACACTCCCATATTAATTTAAAACATGGAAATACTAAAAACAGTATTGTAAGGATGAGGAAGTTCAACAAGACCCTAATTATTCCATAATACTACATTAATGCCTTTTTTTCTATAGTCTCAAAATCCAATTCTTCCCCCCCAAAGGTTTTTCTGGCCCTCTGCTTTGCTGCTGCTTTACACATCTGCTTCACCTGCCTCCTGATAATCCAGCAGCAGTATTTATGTACTAATTTAATAAAATTTCTTAAAAAAAAAAAAAAAAAAGGAACAAAAGACAGCACATAAAATTTGGAGCCAAGAGACCTGGGTTCAAGTCTCAGCTCTGCCACTTTAACTGTGAGGCCTCAGGCATGTCCCCATCTGTGAAACTGGGGGTGATGAAGGTGATATTGATCCCTGCTCAGCTGATCTCACGTTCTTGGGATTCGAATCAAATGAGATCAGAGGTGTGATGGCCCTTCTAATCAGTAAAGGGCGGTATTAGGAAGTAGGCTTTAGAGGCAGCCCCGCCCCTGCAAGAGTCCACGTAGGATTACCTTGGCCCCAGGTTCTCCACGGCCTCGGCTGGTCCTGCCAGCAGGAAGAGCCCAGCACCTTTCTCATCGCCCACGGTTAAGAACAGGAGGGTCTCCTAGGAGGTAGACAGGGAGATGCACCCTGATACTCAAGGACGTGGGGTCAATCCCCCAACCCCTGCACTCTCCTCAGTCTCAGGAAAACACTTTCCCCCTAAGCCACGGAGTGAAGTTCCTGATGAATGATGTAGCCCCTGCACTCTGGCACAACAGGGCCAAGAAACTTTCTGAGTGACTATGGGAACTTAGGAGCCCCGGTGGCGCAGTGGCTAAGCACCTAGCTGCTAACCAAAAGGTTGGTGGTTTGAACCCACCAGCCACTCTATGGGAGAAAGATGTGGCAGTCTGTTCTTGTAAAGATTACAACCGTAGAAACCCTACGGACAGTTCTACTCTGTCCTATAGGGTTGCTATGGGTCAGAATTGACTCAACGGCAATGGGTTTATGGGAAGTTAGGTTTAAACATTAAGAAAGAGGGAAAGTGGCCAAACAAAGTGTCTTTTGTGATCTGATTCCCACCAACCTTTCCAGGCTGGCCGCCCCTCCCCCACCCACCACGTGCCACCATGTGCTTGTGCCGGCCATTCCCCAAACCACCTTGTCTCCTCATGCTCTATGATGCTGCCTCTGCCTGCCTGCCTTTGCTCCTTTGCCTGTCTGATGACCTCTAAGCAGTCTTCAAGGCACAGCTAAAGCAACAGGCCCCTCCCCTAAAGTCTCCCCACCCTTTCAGGGAATGTGCTCCTCTGCCTCTAGCTCCCCTACAGCTCCTTGGGCATATGTGCAGTGCACTGCAACACATATCACCTGATATTATCAATGTTGACACCCAGGCTAGAACGTGAGCTCCTTGAGAACCAGTACTCTCTACAGGAAGAATTATAAAGAGAGACGCACACAAGGCTTAACCCAGAACAGGCATGCCAAAAAATGCTTCTGGAGTATATGCTTAAGAGAGACTCGGAAATCTCTAAGCTCTGGGCTGTCAGGATGGGGAAGGGCAGTTGAAGCCAGAGGCAGAGGAAAATGGATGAGATGGCCTTCCCTTGCCAACCCCAGTATTTCTAAAACCAGGCCTCCAGCACACATGAACCTGGATGGCTCTGAGGAGCTCCACTTTGTGAGGAGCTTGGAAGCTGGTAAGTGTCACAGCCCCAGAGAGGTCAACATCATAGATCTAGATCAACACCTAAAACAGCCTGGTTAGTGCTAAGAAGATAGTACTGAGTGAACTGTTGATGTAGAAGGACTTCAGCTAGGCTAACACCCTTCACTTCTATCTCCCCAAGTCTCTAATCAGGGTGGGTAGAGAATTCCACGCCCCTCTTACCTCTGACCCAATCTCATTGGCAATGATATTCATGAACTCAGAATCACCCTCCTTCCTACAACAGAGGACACAGACATGAGAGCCAGGTTGGAGTGGGAGCTGTAAGACTGCAGGAAGCCCAGCTGCTCCTTGTGAGGCTGACCTCCCGCTGCCTGTCACACACAAAAAGCCCCGGGCCCTCTTCAAAGAGAAAGAGTAAGATGCCTTTCAGCCTATAAGCATGCTTAGTGTTTGTTTCTGTCGCCTTTGAACAGGATTCTCCAGGATAACTGGAGATCTGTTAGATGCTAAAGGAGATCAGGGAAGGTACTAATGAAAGTTAGTGTTACAGTAAAGATATTTATGTCAAACCCAGGAAATCTGGTATATAATGCATTTCTTAGAGTCTACGCTGTTGGAGTATACCAGTGAGCAACGCCCCTTCTACCACCCACTGCATACAAGCCCAACACTTCTCTCCTGCCTCATCTCCACGGCTGATCTCTCACCTGTGTAATACGACCACACCTCCCCAGTCTGGGCTGTTCCTGAGGCTATGGGCAGTGTGCACAGCCAAGTCTCTGAGCAGATTCAGGTTGTTCTGAAATGGATGTGATAACTCATCAGAGAGGTGGAAAAGATAATGAGAAAGAACATCATCTTCCTGCCACTTCATTCTCCCCTCCCACTCCCTTCTGACAAACTACACATCTGTTTAGGCCAAGGAGTGCCTATGCCAGCAGAGCCCATGCCCTGTTGCTCCCTCCATGGAATAAATCACCTTCTGCAGAAGCTTAGTGGAGTTTTGTAGCTTTTTCACTGCTTCCACATGCTCCTCTGCTCCACACCTGCAAGAGAAGGGTCAGTGGAGACATGCCCAGCCTCCCAATTACTTTTGCTGTGGAGGGCAAATCAACGATTCCCTTCTTGAAAGAGTGCCTCCCTCCAGATGGGAACCTGGAGACATTACGAGGAGTCCCCTTAGGCAACTGCGGATGGCTATAATGGAATAAACCATTTGTTTGGATCTGCTCTACTATCCACAGCATTTTATCATTTATCATTACATCCTACCCCCAGAGAGAAGAGATTATTCTGTCCACCTTCCAGGTAGGAAAGCTAAAGCCCTCAAGCCCCAGGGTGTCCACAAGCTGAGAGGTAGGCAGAAGATCAAATGAAGGGGCCGTTTAATGAGAAACTATTTGTTCTGTAAACCTTCGTCTAAAGTACAGTAAAAAAATTTTTTTAATTAAAAAAAAAAGAATAATGTTTACTAAAAAAAGAAGAAAAAGAAGAAGGGGCTGTACTTAAGCAGAGCGGTCAGGGCTTTTTCAGTTCCGTGACTTCTCTCCATCCACTTCAGCACCCGGTTCCCAGCCAGAAATACCAGGTTGGTTTTGTTCTTTTTTCCCTTCTCAGTACCCAGAATCTTAATCACCTACATGAAAAAGGGAGTAACACATGTACACATAGGCATAAACCACAGCGAATCCTGGAACCCAAGGGCAGGAGAGACCCAGACCTCCTCCCCAGCTCTGAAGCAATGAAGGAATGATTTCCCTTCGGATTCTTCAACTGCCCCACCACCACCACACACCACTCCCAGTCCCGCTGTGATCCCCCACTCCTGATACCCTCTCTCGACCCCTCAGAGGCCCTTCCTCACCTACCTGAAGATCACTGAGATTGCTCACGTGGGTCCCACAGCACATGTTGGAATCAACGCCCTCGATGGTAACAACTCGAATGGGTCCAGCGTGATCATCCGGCAAACCTCGGCCCCTCACCTGGAATAGAGGGGAGAGAAAGGAGCTGTTTAAATTTTGAGAGGAAGCCCTCAGAGGGCCAACCTGCAGCTGCCACCCCATTGGCTCTCCCCTCACCTGCTCCACCTCAGGATCATCCAGGCTCAGTTCTCGCACATTCACAGGCAGCCGATCTCTGATTTTTTCATTGACGCTCTGCTCAATGGCAGCTACTTGCTCAGCCGTCACCGAGGGGCTGTCCAGCTCAATCACACTCCGGAGTCGTCCTAACTCCCTGCCAGGGGAAATATAATGGTCATGGAATATTGATGATGACAACAATAATAACATATGAAAAGTCCACAGTTTATAAAGAACATTCATACAAATGACCTTATTTAATCCTCACAAAAATGCTGCAAGGCAGGGACCGTCATTCTCATTGTATAGGTGAGGAAACCGAGACTCAGAGAGAACGTGATCAAGATCATGCAGCCAGTGAGTGGTGGAGCCAGGATTCACCCCCTAGTTCTTTGGGTTCTAAAGTCCATGTTCTTTCCTGAGCCAAAGCAGCTGTTTCTCCTCTCATCTTTGAGATTCCCCTAAGAAACACAAGGTCATCCCACCACACCTTCTGTAATTAATTTTAACGTGTCAACTTGGCTAGGCTATGGTGAGCAGTTGTTTGGGCAAACGCTAGTCTAGATGTTGCGGTGTGGTATTTTGTTAATGTGGTTAAGATCTATAATCAGTTGGCTTTAGATAACAATTACCCTTGATAATGTGGGTGGACCTCATCCAATCAGTTTAAGGCCTTAGGAGCAAAAACTGAGGTTTCCCAGTAAAGAAGGAATTCTGCCTTAAGACTGTAATACAGAAATCCTGCCTGAGTTTACAGACTGCCAGTCTGCCCTACAGATTTCAGACTTGCCAGCCCCCACAACTGCATGAGCCAATTCCTTAAAATAAATCTCTTTATATATATATGGAGTCCTGGTGGTCCAACGGTTAAGCACTGAACTGCTAACCAAAAGGTCGGCAGTTCAAATCCACCAGTGCTCCTTGAAAACCTTATGGGGCAGTCCTATAGGGTCACTATAAGTTGGAATCAACTTGATGGCAACGGGTTTATATACACATATATCCTATTGGTCTCGTTTCTCTGGAGAACCCTGGCTGATACAGACATTCACTTTCAAGGGGAAAGAAGAACTCAGGGCAAATTATGAACACTCCCCTCTCTCATATGCCCCTACTCCCTGACCCATGATTGAGAAAGGAGCAGGTTGTCAGGAAATCACACCCTACAGTCGTCTTATGCCTCCTGCTCACCATGATGTTGTCTTCCACCCAAACAGATCGTCAGCAACTGCTGTGATGAGATGCTGCCCTGAGCAAAGAGAACAGGGAAGAGATGAGTGAGAAGCCCAGACAGCCACATACTCCCACAATGACATAATCACAAAGTCCCACTTGTTGAAGGCCTATCTACCAGGCACCAGGCACTTTAGATACTTTACTGAAAACCTTCACAAGAACCCCTGCAAGAGGCATGATGATGCCACTTGAGGAAACTGAGGCCTAGAGAGATCAAATAATTTCTCAGAGGCAGAACCAGGACTTGAACTCAAGTTCTAAGATGCTGTATTCATTCATTCAACAAATACTTATTGAGTGCCTACCACCTGCAAGGCACAGGGCTTGTCATCAGAGATACAGCAGCATCTCTAATTGATTGCAACAATGAGGAGAAAAAGGAGGAGGAATTAATTCTACGAAGGCAGAGGAAATGAGACAGCCAAAGGCCTTGAGTGGGAAAGAAGCAGGATGTGTTCGAGGAATCGAGAGAAGGCCAGCATGTACAGAATGCAGACAGCAAGACGGAGAGGGGCACCAGCGGGGCCAGCCCATATGGGGCTTGTAGGCCATCTTGGGTTTGTAGGCCATGAGAAGGAGTTTGATTTTACACAATAAGCCACAGAAAGCCTTTGATGAGCTTTAAGCAGGGGCATGACATGATCAGATTTTCATTTTTAAAAGATTAGTCTCGCTGCTGTGTGGAGAATGGGCTGCAGAGGAGCAAGACTGAATGTGGGGAGACCAGCGGAGAGGCTATTACAGAGGTCCAGGGGAAAGACAAGAGGAGGTGGGACTAGGATGATGATGGTGACAGTGAGGGTAGTGCAGAGACATTTAAAAGATAAGCCAACAGGATTCAGTGGCTATCCCCAAAGAGAGAGAGGTGTCTGGAATGACTTCTAGGATTTGAGCTTACACAACTGGGTGGATCACAGTGCCCTGTAATGAGACAGAGAAAGCTGACCAAGGACCAGGGTTGGGGTAAAGGGAAGTAGGGGGAGAGTTTTATTCCATTTTGGACATTTTAAGTTTGAGAAGCCTACAAGACATCCAGATAAAGACATCAAGTGGGAACTGATAAATCCAGCAGTTATTCTAATATTTTTACTTCTTATATTGATTTTATAGCATTTATCATATCCTGCCTGAATCAAAGCTAATTCTGCGTGTCTGTCTCTTCCAAAAGGTTAACTTCTGGAGAAGCAAAACCACTTTCAATCATCATGGTGACTACCTGTCCTATAAGTCCCCTGCCCCACCCAACCCCACAGACCTGAATGCTGCTGCATGTGGTCAAACCTCCGCTCCCAGTCCACCTGGACCTGGACCTGGCTCCCAGGGGCTAGGGGCATCTGTGTGAAATGATCAGCCTGGGACCCCTGGCGCGTCACTCTCAGCACATCGATGTCATTGATTGTACCTCGGTCATCAGGCTGGGGAAAAGAAGTGCAGGCAATCAATGGTGAGAGGCATGACTCACCCTAACAAAGACTCTCGAGGGAAAGTGTGTGAGAGACAGACCCAGAATTTGAGCTCCTCAAGGGAAAATAGACCATGCCAAGTGAGGTAGGTCTATTTTGTTCCGTGAAGGAACTGTCTCTCTGTCCTCTTCACTCTGAACACATCGATATTTTGTTAATTAGAACAAAACGACAAAATTAAAAAAGAAGAGGAAAGAGACTATAACTATGGCAAAGATTTTAGTAAAGCGCAAAGAAGCTCCATTCTTACTTTCATTGCCTTAGTTTAAATGCTTATCATCTTTCAATAGTGTCTGAGATGATCTGAATTTTCCTTCCTCCCTCTACTCTACCCTCTGTACTGCTACTAGAATTAGATTTAAAAACATTCATTAATTTCCTCAAAAAGTTAAACATAGAATTACCATATGACCCAGTAATTCCACTCCTAGATATATAGCCGAAATAACTGAAACCAGGGACTAAAACAGATTCTCATACATCAATGTTCATTGCAGTATTATTCACAATAGCCAAAAAGTAGAAACAACACAAATGTCCATGCTATCAAGAGATGAATAGATAAACATAATGTGGTATATACACACAATGGAAAATTACTCGGCCATAAAGAGAAGTAAGCTCTAATACATGCTACAACATGGATGAACCTTGAAGACGTTATGCTAAGTGAAATAAATCAAAATGACAAATATTGTATGATTCCACTTATAAGAAATATCTAGAATAGGTAAATGCATAGAAACAAAAGTAGATTAATGGTTACCAAAGGCGGGGGGGGGGGGGGGGGGGGAGAGAAATGGCAGTTATTGCTTTATGGGTACTGAGTTCTGTTTGGGCTGATGAAAAAGTCTGAAAATAGATATTGGTGACAGTTGCACTACACTGTGAATGTAATCAATCTCACTGAATTGTATGCTCAAAAATTATTAAAATGGTAAAGTTTACATTATATTTTACCACCATAAAATTTAAAAAAAAAAATTCACTCATTAAAAAAGGTATCAAGTGCTAATTGCTTACAAGACATTGTGCTAGCCCAAGATACAATGTAAATACAACATAGTCCTTTCCCTCAAAGAACTTAGACTCTGGAGGAGAATACCCATAAGCAAACAAGCAACTGCTATATAATCAAGTATATATCACTAGAGAAGCCCAAAGACTCAACAGTCTTGGGGAATCAGAAAGACCTTCCTGAAGGAACTAATGTCTAAAATGAGGCTCTCTCTTGGACACCTGAGGCCACAGGTTTTCCTTCACCAGATGAGAAAACTTCCATGTTGGGAACATTACTGCAAAAATGACATTAATATACAATTGAAACCACTTCAGTAACAAGTCTACTGAAAATGTTCTCTCATGCTACTTCTTTCTTAAGAGCCTGCATGGCTCACCACTGCTTCCTCAATGAAGTCCACATGCCTTAATACATCCTTCAAGGCCCTCTGAACTGGTCCCCACTTACCTTTCCATGGTCATCTCCAGCCTGTCTCCAAAACACATCATAGGCTTCAACTGTGTCAGACTACTTGCAGTCAACTAGACTTCTTAGATTCCTTTAAGCTTCCCTGCCTTTGTTGGGGTAGTAGCTCTGCTAGGAGAGCCTCCCTGTCAATTTCTGATTGTTGACATCCCACCTATCCTTTAAGATACAATTCAAATGCCACCTCTCCCATAATACTCGCCTTTGGAGTTATTCTCTTCCCTGTTCACATTGTACCTAATCTCTACCCCCATCACAACACTGATAAGTCTGCCTTAAAAAAACAAACAAAAAAAATCTGTTGCCATCAAGTCAATTCTGACTCATGGCGACCCTTTTAGGACACAGTAGAACTGCCCCCATAGGATTTCCAAGGAGCTGCTGGTGGATTCGAACTGCCAACCTCTTGGTTAGCAGCCGTAGCTCTTAACCACTGCGCCCACCAGGGCTTCAAGTATGCCTTATGTCCCACTACTGTCAACTACCTATCTCTCCTGAAATCTCTGAATCTTTTTCAGTTCCTGTCAAACACACTAGAGTCCTCCTGGTGCAGTGCTTAAAGCACTCAACTGCTAACCAAAAGGTTGCCAGTTGAAATCTACCAGCTGCTCCGTAGGACATGGATGTCCGACTAAGATGCAGGATAAAGATGCAGCAGTCTGCTTCCATAAAGATTTACGGTCTTGGAAACGCTATGGGGTAGTTCTACAATGTCCTATAGCGTTGCTATGAGTTGGAATCAACTCCACCCACAGCGGGGGTTTTTTGTCTGTGTTTTTTTGGTCAAACACCTTCAGCTCATTTCAAGCTCAGGGCCTTTGCACTTGCTATTCTCATTGCCCGGAATATTCCCTCACACACCAGATAATTTGCAATGGCTTACCCCCTCACTTCATTTAGGCCTCTACTGAAATAATTTCGCTTCCTATGTGGGAGAGCATCCCATCACTCTCTTTCCCTTTACTCAGCTTTCTTTTTATTTACAGCACTTATCCCTACCTGGCGTGTTATTTATATATTAGTGGTTTCGTCTGTTTTCTTCAATAAACATTCCACGTATGCAGAGGCACCCTCTTGTTCACCCCTTATCCTTGGATCCTGGTGCAGTATCTAGCATATGTCATGTGTAGATAAATACTTACGGGTAAATATTTTTTGAATGAGTAAATGAACTTAACTGAACTAATTTCCAACTGTGATCATTATGGTTGAGAACCAAGAGACAGGGCAGTATGAGCTCAAAGGAATTAGGGGCTCCTTGGAAGGAGAATGGGCTGAGGGACAGGCCTGGTACCTGTCCCCCGCCCTCGGGGAAAAGCAGCGTGTCTTCCAGCACCACGTGGAAACCGTTCACCACTTCTTTCTTGCCATTGCTTCCTTCGGTCTGTAACTCTGCAGGCCGGCAGGAGACCACCGTGGTAGTGAACTAGCAAAGAGAGGGATGAGAGAATAAGCGTCAACCCCCAGCCTCCGTACGCCGGAACTGAGCCTCAATCCCGGCACTCTCTCCACAAGGCGTTCTCTTTGCCGCACCGCCCCATCCGCTCGGTAGCAAAAGATTCCGCCCCTCGGGCCTCACCTCCCGGGCGTAGCTATCCCTCTGACACAGGAACGCCATCGCAGGTGTCTCTCAGGACGCGGAGATCCGCGCTCACAGAAAACCCTGTTGGCGGACGGAGAGCGACGCAGGACAAACTTCACTATGGGCCCATTTGTGCGCAGAAGCAAGAGGATAAGAATAGGGTGTGGCTTGGACAAATTTATTGAAAACGCGAATTGCAAACGTTCTGGGTTGAGTAACGACTGTTTTAAGGTTTTGAAAAAGACCGGGAAAAAAATAAAATAAAACAAAAAAACAACTGAATTTGTCGATGCTCTTAGCGTAGCCCCTTGGGCTGGAGGCATATGTGTGCAATTGTGGGTGTATGTGTGTTGGCGTGGGGGCGGGGGGTTCCCGCCAACCTTTCTACCCTGAGGAAGGACTAATGTTTTAATAGCAAAATGAGCAACAGACATGGACAGAGTACATTAAATGAAATATGTCTCAAGAAAAGGTTTAAACACAGATGAAAACATTCCTTGATTGTTACGAGGGGAGGGAGGGAGAGGGGAATTCACTAACTAGATAGTAGACAAGAATTATCTTAGGTGAAGGGAAGGACAACACACAATACAGGGGAAGTCAGCACAACCAGATAGTAGATAAGAATTATCTTAGGTGAAGGGAAGGACAACACACAATACAGGGGAAGTCAGCACAAGTGGACTAAACCAAAAGCTAAGAAGTTTCCTGAACACAACCAAACACTTCGAGGGACACAGTAGCAGGGGGAGGGGTCTGGGGGCCATGATTTCGGGGGACATCTAGGTCAATTGACATAACAAAGTTTATTAAGGAAATGTTCTGCATCCCACTTTGGTGAGTGCTGTCTGGGGTCTTAGAAGCTTGCAAATAGCCATCTGAGATGCATGAATTGGTCCCAACCATCTGGAGTAAAGGAGAATAAAGAACACCGAAGACAGAAGGAAAGTAGTAGCCCAAGAGACAGAAAGGGCCACATAAACCAGAGACTCCATCATCCTGAGACTAGAAGAACTAGATGGTGCCCAGCTACCATCAATGATTACCCTGACAGGGAACACAACACAGAGTTCCTGATGGAGCAGGAGAAAAGTGTGGTGCAGAACTCAAAATCAAGTAAAAAGACCAGACTTAATGGTCTGACTAAGACTATAGGAGCCCCAGAAGACATGGCCCCCCGGACTCTCTGTTAACCCAGAACTAAAACCATTCCCGAAGCCAACTCTTCAGAGAGAGATTAGACTGGACTATAAAACATAAAATAACACTTGCGAAGAGTGTACTTCTTAGTTCAAGTAGATATGGGCAGCTCCTGTCTGGGGGCAGGATGAGAAGGCAGAAAGGGTGAGGAGCTGGTTGAATGAACACAGGAAACCTGGGGTGGAAAGAGAGAGTGTGCTGTTGCATTATAGGGATTGAATCTGGGGTCACATAATGAATTGTATAAATTTTTGTATGAGAAATTAACTTGAGCTGTAAACTTTCACTCTAAAACACAATAAATTTTTTAAAAAAGAAGTATGTCACTAATAAAAATAAATAATGTGCAATTTGATAATCAAAAGCAAATTAAAACCAGCTACAATCTTTAATCTTGGCAAAGATCTAAGAGGTATTGGAGAATGGAGTACTCTCGGTGGTGGGAGTAGGAATTGGTGCAACTTCATAGAAGAGCAACTTCGCAAAAGCAATCAAAATGTTTAAATGTATCTACTCTTTGACCTCAGATTCATGGCAACCCCATGGTTACAGAGTAGAACTCCATAGGGTATTCTTGGCTATAATCTTTAGGAAAGTAGATCACAGGGCTTTCTTTCTTGGCACCACTGGGTGTTTTCAAACTGCCAACCTTCAGGTTAGTAGTCAAGCACAAACCACTTGTGCCACCTAGAGACCTTACTCTAGAAATTCACCCTACAGATATTCATGAACAAGTATGTAGAGATCTATCTACATTTAAGAATATTCCTTGTAGCATTGTTTGAAAATAGCAAAATACTAACGACAACATAAATGTCATTCAATATGCCCATTGCCATTGAGTTGATTCCGACTCATAGCGACCTTATAGGACGGAGTAGAACTGCCCCATGGGTTTCCAGGGAGCTGCTGGTGGATTCAAACTGCTGACCTTTTGGTTAGCAGCTGAGCTCTTAACCACTGTGCCACCAGGCTTCCTTCAATAAGGAACCAGTTAAATAAATTGTTAAAAATGCATTCAATGGAATACCATGCAACCGTGAAAAAGAATGAGATAGATCTGTCTGTGCTGATTTGGTAAGGTCTCTGTTGTAGATTGAATTGTGTTCCCCAAAAATGTGTCTC